GAGAGATTTTCACAACCTTATCGATCAACAAAACAATATCGGTCACATGACCTAATATACGCAAGGTTCTCCTTCGATTTATTTCAGAATGATTCCGTAATTGTTCGAGAATTCCTTGTACCCTACGAGGTCCAATGAGGCTTAAAACAGTTCGGTACGCTTGTGCGCAGCTGCGGACCAATTTCCGAGAGCGAGAGACGCCATTGCACACAACACTCAGCCAATAATTGAACGGAGATTTTCTCACTGGACAAAAATGCCTTGATTTCTTGACGGGGGCGGGGAAAGCATAAGTTGTTGGAAACCAGTTTCATGCGCCTAACTCTGACCCCTTTTTGAAAGTGTTATGTACAACAACCATCAGGTACTTTAAAAGAGCAGCCTGCGAACACACCCAGAACAACAGACAATTTGCCATCGTTCCTTGACGGTCTTCCACCACAAGGAGGAAAAGCAGAAAAAGCAGAAGAAAGCCAAAGAAAATTCAAAGGGACAGCTCAGTCCCCCAAAGGAAAGGATCCGCGCAACTTTTTTTTTTTTTTTTTTTTTTTTTTTGTGCGATACCGCTATCGATGAGGAACTCAGGTAATGTTTTGCAAAAAAAATTTTTTTTTGTACGGGAAAGGACGTTAGAAATAAAGATACAGGCTTGAACTGAAAGGTTCCAAATCTCCATTCATGTGCATCCCACGTTACTGAGACCAGACGATGGAAACATCATCTCCAAGTTCCCATTGTTTCTGTGCCTCTCGTAATGGGGGTTTTTTTTGAAAAAAAAAAAAAAAAAAAAAAAAAAAAAAAAAAAAAAAACCCCTCTCGCCGAATCGCTTTTCACACGGATAACATCAAACTGAAATTCGCAGAAGGCTGAGCTCAATCGCAACTGGCAACTAACTAGGGGACGCTATTATTAACTATGATATTAGCTCCACCCGATTCCGTCCCCTGGACCGCGGAATCGGGCCCGGGAGCTGCCATCGTTTGTCACCTGTACATTCTTCGGATTGTTATTGGCTTTGTAGCTCAGACAGACCATGTGGTATCGCGATTCCTTTTTTGCTTTTCTTTTCTTCATATCTTCTACTCCGTATACCAGACTAGGAAGGAGGAATGCGATCCCAGGGCTACCGTGGATTACGTTCGTCGACAAAAATATGTGCTTTCAACCGGATCCCTTTTAGACTTTAGTAGGTGTGTGATTATCAAAAAATAAGTGTGTCTGCATGGCTCAATCACATCTTGAGTTTTCCCCTCTTCCACTTAACCACAAGAAAAGAAAAGAAAATATAGCAAGTTCCCCACCAGCAACGCCCGTCCGGCACGCCGGTTGAGCGGGACAGAGCGGTTCCACGACCAACCATGAGGTGGAGGGCGTTGGAGCCTCGAACCCGGTTGAATCACTCTCGCTGACTACGTACTAGAGCCAAGAGCGGAATAAAGGGGCGGTTATTAGAATGGAGGAGAGCTCGATTTCCGTCGGCAATCTGGAACGAATGAAGGAGGGTAGTGGGAAAAGAAGAAAAAAGGGTTCAATTGAGCGTTTTGGAAATGGGTCTGGGAAAATCCCATTAAAGATTGCTTCAGGAACAGTGTCCTTTTGTTTGCTTAGGACCAGCCTTCAATCGGCTACTGAAGAATGTTGTGTTGCCCGGGCGGAGGATGAAGAATGTTGGAGCCTCTTGCTCGGTGACGATGATTAGGCAGACGGAGAATGCTGATGGCTGTGAGTATTGGTCATATTTGCTTCTCCTCTGTGTACTCCGTACTCTACGCTCTGTAAAGCGTGTGGATATAATTATAAATTAGTTAGTTAGGAACGGTGTGATGACCAAAAGTAGGCGTGTCTGTACAGATCTGTATAAATCCCACAGATGTCAAAATGTGTCCATCAGTAAGCTGTGTTGATGCCTGCATTTTCCCTCCTCAAATACGCCTCCTAGTGCTTGCAGTCGAAAAATTTGCGAGGGGTGGAGTCAATTTTTCAATTTAAGTGGAAAAAGTGGACATTGAAAATATATATACTTCTGTATATATATAGCAAGTTGAAGTTGAGGCAGATCGCGAAACCCCAAGCATAAGATTCAGCCTTGTGCAAGGAGAAACCCTCGATATCCTCCTCGTCCTGGTTGGAAAATTGATACTCCCTTCTCAATCAATTCCTGAATCATATGCGCCCACGCGTCTAAGGTACCCACGTCCATTGTCAATCAGATATAAGAACTGAGACAAGTTATGTTGAAATCACGCTCCTCTGGATTCTGGAAAGAGAGTGGTGGGGGGGAATTGAATTGAATTGCAAGCTACGGGATACCAGCTGTGTTCCGAATGGCTGTGTTGCATGGTCGGGTGGGATAGAAACTCTAGCTGAAACTTCTCGCCGCAGGTCAGCCACCCCCCGTGGGAATGAACCATTGGTCTTTGTTGGCGATGGAAAACTGAAGATTTCTGTTTATTTCTTGGCTAGCGGATCGTGGCAATGATCGAGCCTCAAGACTCGAGCTTTGACCGCCGCCGACTGGATGTTGAGGCGTGTGCTCGCCTGTAATTTTGATCCTTCTCGCATTTCGTCAGCATGGTGGTGAGTATATTAGGTTTTGACACTGAGGAATCCGTCTCCACGGACACAGGTCGAGACTACTGCAAGCTGCGACATGCCCGTTCTCCACTTGTGGAAGTGGAAGGGTAAAGAAACAGCCTGTGAGCAAGGTAATTGGCAACTGGACTGCATTGCCGTTGATGCATTAGAGTGCGTTTAGCTGATCATGTCTGCAGAGCCAGACCTGACCTTGAACCCGCTAGTTCAACCCGTAACCCCAACAGAGAAATTGGACCGATTGACGAGCATCGAAACGTACCAAGCGAGAAAAAGAATCGAGATGAATGGTAACGAGCACTTTAACGTGTCTTACTCCGGGACAATCAACGACCGACATTGATGTGCCAATCGATGAAAATATTTTTCAAGTATTATTGTCCAGATAATGTCTTGGGAATTTACGAGAGTTAGCTCGACCATAATTGCGCCTCCAGGCTAGATACTCGGTCCTTGTAAAGAGAAGCATCGGAGATCAGCAGACGTCTACTTCGCCGAACGACTTTGCGGGAAGAAGAGCAAAGGAACAATAGTGCTGATGATCTGGTTCGTTTGTTTCCTCAAAGGCTGGCGTGTTATGGCTCGGGTTCGGGGTTCCTAGGACACCAGTTTACCACAAGCGCCGACGGATATATCCTTATGTCCACCTTCCAGAACCGATGGATTAAAGGTATGGCCCTTCCCTTCTCTTGCGATAATCTATTCGACTTTTTTGTTGCTGTTATTATTATTTTAATTCCTGTGAAGTCGCTTCAGCATTTTGTTTTGTAATTTCTAAAATGTTAATCTGGCAAGATTTCAATACAG